AGGGGAGCAGGGGCACGCTGAGTCAAAGAAGAGGCACGCTCTGGATGGAGCCCAGCCTGCTCCAGAGCCCAAGTTTAGAGCGTCCGATGGGCTCATGGCACCTGCTGCTCCCGCTGCCGCTCCTGAGAGCACAACAGGCCTACTTCCTCCAACGGATGTGACCCCCCCATCATCCTGGGCCCTTCAAGGAGTGCCGGAGTCACATCGCTGCTGGCTCAGACAGAGATGCTGCTTGCAGTCTTTGGGGGTGGGGGGAACAGAGAGAGGATGGCGCTCCAAAAGGCCTTCTTTCTGCTGCCTCCCCCCACCCCACGGCATCCCATCCCCCATTTCAAGGCCAAGCTAAGACTCCCTGGGTTCTTAGGCATTTGGAATATTTTGCTGCTGTTGTTCCAACGCGGCGGGCGTAGCATGTACTTGAAGGTGGTTCTCTGTTCTGACATACATCCATTTAACTTTATGGGGTGCTAGATTTTATTGCAAAATAACTGCATTTTCATACAAACCCATTGTATGAAGGGTTTAACAAATATAATTAGTAAATAAATTAAATAATGGGAGGGCAGTGGCGCTGCCTCCAGACTCAAGAAATAAATGAAATGCGGTTTTAATCAGTTTACTCAATCAGCGGGTTTGCATGTGAAACGCCCTGGTGTTCGGCAACAGTTTGAAGGGGAAAGACTCTTCCTCCTTTGTTTTGCAGCGCCTGAGAAAGTGCCGCCCCCTCCCCTCCCCTTCGGTTGGCTCCGCAGTGGCCACCTGGAGTTTCTAGAAGTACTTTCATGAAAAGCGCCATTGGAGTGGGGGGGGATTTACTGCCCCATTTTAATTAGAGCACCACTTTAATTGATCAAAGGAGTTTAAAGGGTTACACAGATAATCTGAGGGAAGCACTTTGAACAGGCAAGAACTACTTTCTAAATGCAGAGAATGAGCCTTGGCTCTGCGCTTGCAGGAGATCGAGCAGGAGGGGGAGTTAAACCACCCGGCCTCTTGTAAGTTCCCCAAAGGGGCAGGGACAAGAAGTAGCCCCCACCCTGGAGGCTGGGATTCTGGCGCCCTGAGAGGAAGCCAGTGCTGGAGTGGTGTGGCACTTCTGGGAAAGAAATGGGGGGCTTAGTTTGGGTCCTTCAGCATGAATGGAGGAAGCAGCATGGCTACTCCAGCCCCTCTCAATGCAGCCTGCCAGGGAAGCCCACTTGCGGGGGCCTTGAGCCCCTTTCCTCAGACCTCCAAGACAAGGGCCCTCTCGGGCAGGGGATGGAGGATCTTCTTGGTCAGAGCCCTGCCTGCCACCCAGCAGCAGCATCGTGCCAGTTGGTCGCTAGCCCAGGCGTCAGGGGGAGAGGCAGGTAGGAGGGGGAGCTTGGCCCAGGCAGGGAAAGGAGCCACGCTGGGCAGGCAGGGGGATGGTGCATCGGGGGCTGCTCGCCAAGCGTTGGATCCGTCAGCAACTCCGGGTGCCTGGCAGAAGGGCGGAGGAGGGCCAGAACAGGCCCAGAGCATGTGGCGGGAAAGGGGGGGCATGTGGCTAGAGGGGCCCCTCACCGTTGGCTCCCAACTCTCATTTCCCCAGAATGTCCTGGACAGGCCCCAATGCTGGAGAAGTCGAAAGGGGGCCCTTGTTGTGGCCTTTGGAAAGAGGCCCCTTTTCCCTCCGGCTCCTCCTTTGCCAAGGACCCTCTGGACGTACCTGCGACAGGTGCCCCCTGACCCCGGCCTCGAGCCTTTCCTTCCGCCTCACTCCAGAGAGCTCTCTCTCCTTGGCGGTTTTGTGCAGATTGGGGGATTGATTGATCAATTGATTGGTTTAAATGTATTGGCCGCCCAACTCCAATGGATTCTGACTGACTTGAACTTCAGATTCCAAGAGGCTTGGAGGGAACTGGAAGGAATGGAAATGTGGGCCCCCTGAAGGAGGCTGGGGCCACTCTGAGTCCAGTGCTGGGTTTCTCATGGGGGCCCACCAGATGCCTGCGAGGGGCTGCCAAGCAGGGACAGAAGCCATTGGGACGTGGGGGTGGGCAGCTCCTGGCCCCCCTACTCCTGATAGACCCATCCCCCGTGAATTTGCCTGGTCCCTTGGGAGCAGCCAAGCCAGGGTCCCCCGGTCAGGGATGCCCTGTGTGACGCTTCCTTCTGCCTGTGTTCAGTCCCCTGCCAAGGAGGTGGGTGGCTGGGCCCTGGGCCCCCGCTTGGAGAGGAAGGAAACTCCTCCTCCTCCTCCACTTTCTCCGCCCTGGGCATCTTCCCGTCCCCCTCAGTCGTCCAAACATTTTAGCCTTTCCTTGTACGGCAGCTGCTGGGTGGTTCTACTTGCCTTCCTCTGCACTTTTCCAGCCCTGTTTATATCCTTTTCCAAGCGCGGCAACCTGGCCCGCTCCCCGCGCTCTGGACGTGGACACAGCAGTAACCCCCATCACTTGCCACGCTGGGCTTCCTAGTTTTGACCCTGTCCCAATTCCCTTGTGCGGAATGGGCCTTTCCACAGCTGCTGAGAGTGCCCCGAGCCCCTTTTCCTGGCTAGCTGCGGGCAGGCCGGTCCTCATCCTCCACGCACGTGTGAAGGCAGGGGCTGTGCCCCCACGGGCTCCCTTTGAAACCCCTACAGAGGCCTGTCTGCAGCCCGGAG